GAAAATTCACACGCAATCCCCAGAAAATGAAGATGTTCTTATCCCCAGACAAATTACCCAGAAAAACGCAAAGGTCTCCTATCTTGAACATATAAAAAAAGAAAAAAAAAAGAAAGTCGAACAGGCAAAGAAAACATACCCATGCTCATGATGCTTGACGAGAAGTCTTGAAGAATCGGAGAAGAACGCCGGAAAATTAGAACGCCGGGAAACTGGAGAAAGCTGTGATTGCCGGAGATGGACAGATATCTTGAAGGAGGCGAGTGCAAAAAGTGATGAGGAGAAAAAGAAGGGGTTACTTATAGGAAGGGCGAAGAAACCCCAGCCCTCGGATTAAAGTCATTTTCAACGGATAAGATGAGGCACAGAATACGAAGCGGCGGAGAGAGAAAATGTTAACCTTTTGAATTTTGAAATTTGAAAAGATTCAGACTTATCTAATCAAGTCGGAATTCGCGAAAAACGAGTCGTACTACAAGTTGAGGTAATGAAGGGATGTAGCCCGAGACGACAACTGATGACGAGACATATGAAAAGACTCGAGGAAAAAATCCAGTCGACAAAATCTACTCGTAAGCTCAGAATCGCTTCGAGTGATTTTGGGGGGGGACTAGATGATATAGCCATACTGTCGTGCATCGGTTCAGTAACCGCGACATTGCCGCGATTGGCTCATAGCGGTTCATATCGTCACGGTTTGAGACTACCAAGTAGACTTCGGCAAAGTCGACTCTATTAGTAAGGTTCCATGGTACTCAGTCAAGAAGCCCGGCTCTCGACCGAGTCAATGTACATCTGTCGACTAGAATAAGTCGACCTCTGGTAAGATAACGGTCAGACGTATTAGGGTCTACTAACAGTTGAGTGCGACCCAGTCGACTCGACGTAATATCTCAGGTCGACTGAGGGAGTTGTAGCTCGTGGTGCCCGATAGCTTTGACACACCTCAGCATACTGCAGAAGAATTAAGGATAAGAAAGAAGCTAAGGAAGGATCTAGATGCTGACTAGGAAGTAGGCGGAATATGAACCGACAGGGGTATTCTGGACATTTCCATTAAGTCGGCCGGGGCACTTTGGGGACTTCAGGTATATATTGTACTCCTATATAAAGGACTGAGGTAATCCCAAAACCCTAACTCCCATTCATTCCATATCCTATTGATTACTGCTGCTGCTCTGAGAGCAGCTATCATCATCTCTCTCAGATACTGACTTGAGCGTCGGAGGCTCTACGCCGGAAACCCCTCCGGCGTTGAGTTCTTGCAGGTGTTTTTGCGGCTCACAACAACGGTTCGATCGCCATCACATCAAGTCTAAGCTCATCCGTACCGGTTCGTCCCAGATCCGGACGTTTTCCAATCAGACCGTCCCAGATCTGAGAAGAAACCCATCATACTCTTATTTTCCTCGACTTCTTTAAATGTACACGATTTTGCTACGAAACGCGATGGTGCGAGAAATATATGTTATTCACATCAAATAATAGTGCCGTGTTCGAAAACAAGCCTTTTAGGAGACGTTGATTATTTTTTCGTTTTTGCCCCTATTTACTCTTATTTTCCTCGACTTCTTTAAATGTATACGATTTGGTTTCGAAACGCGATGGTGCGAGAAATATATGTTATTCACATCAAATAATGGTTTCGTGTTTGAAAACAAGCCTTTCCGGAGACGTTGATTACTTTTTCGTTTTTGCCCCCATTTACTCTTATTTTCCTCGACTTCTTTATATGTATACGATTTTGCTTCGAAACGCGATGGTGCGAGAAATATATATTATTCAAATCAAATAATGGTGGTGTGTTTGAAAACATGCTTTTCCGAAGACGTTGATTATTTTTTCGTTTTTGGTCCCTATTACTCTTATTTTCCTCGACTTCTTTAAATGTATACGAATTTTAATCGAAATGCGATGCTGTGAGAAATATATGTTATTCACATCATATAATGGTGTTGTGTTCGAAAAGAAGCCTTTCCGGAGACGTTGATTATTTTTTCGTTTTTGCCCCTATTTACT